GTAGTAGCAGCAGTAGCAGTAGCAGTAGCAGTAGCAGTAGCAGTAGTAGTAGTAGTAGTAGCAGCAGTAGTAGTAGCAGTAATAGTAGCAGTAGTAGCAGTAATACAAGCAGTTGCAGTAGTAGTAGTAGTAGTAGTAGCAGTAGCAGTAATAGTGGTAGTAGCAGTAGTAGTAGCAATAGCAGTAGTAGCTGTAATAGTAGTAGTAGCAGCAGCAGCAGTAGCAGTAGTAGTAGTAGTAGCAGTAGTAGTAATAGTAGTAGCAGTAGTAGTGACAATAACACTAGTAGCAGTAGTAGCAGTAATAGTAGTAGTAGTGGTAGTAGTAGCAACAGCAATAGTAGTAACAATAGTAGCAGCAACAGTAGCATTGGTAGTAGTAGTAGTAGTAGTAGTAGTAGTAGTAGTAGTAGTAGTAGAAGTAGTAGCTGTAGCAATAGTAGCAGTAGCAGTACTAGTAGCAGTAATAAAAGCAGCAGCAGTATTAGTAATAGCAGTAGTAATAGTAACAGTAGTAGCAGTAGCAACAGTCGTAGCAGTCATAGCAACAGTAGTAGTAGCAGTAGCAATACTATTAGCAGCTGTAGTAGTTGTAGTAGTAGAAGTAGTAGCAGTAGAGTGGCAGTGGTCATAGCAGATACAGAAATCTGGTGTAGGATTATTAATAACCAATTCATTTAGCAGCATTTCTGTTGTGTATATTATGATCTATTCACCAATTACTCCAGTTTGATATCAGTGTCTTCAGATATTTACAACAAATTAACCAACTAACCAACGAACTGTCCTCCGTGTGAATCTTGTCCAATCAAAACTGCTCCTTGATCGGATTCGGAACACAAAACATTCAGTGCAATCAGCATGCTCAGATTCAGATAAAAAACAGATGCGGAGTCTAAACTGACAAATGTGGACGTAATGGGTCGGACATGTGCACTGTCTGTATGATCCCATATTTCATGTTGTTGTGGAAAAATAAAGCTGCCAGTGTAATTTGTACGGAACTTCCTTTGGTTGAATTTATGAGTTGTTAAACAAACATGATTGGTGACCAGGACCATTACGTTGACTTCGCTCTTCCATCTTCCTCACAAACCACCGTCTTGGGCCCGTGCAGCTGGTTAAAAATGCATTATGGGACTTTTGGGGTTGAGGATGCGCCACCTGCTTGTTTCCATGGAGATGTTAAATGGTTTGCCAGGAATATTACACAGTATCGCCTTATCCATCTTTCTGAAGACAAGCATCAGAGCAGTTTAGATGTAAGATCAGACCTGTAACTGAATACTAAAAGTTTAAAGGGCATATTACATTCTTTCCTGATCTATGTTATAATGTTGTTTCCTCATCTAAGACATACACAAACCCTGCATGTTTAGGTTCTTCTCTCAAACAGAAAACACTCTGTTCCACCTTGAGATATCATGTGGTAACAGAGGAAGTGCTACATGGAAGATAATTTGTTCCATCAGACTTTGAATTTTAAATACAGCTGAATTTCTTGCACTGAATTTTTCAACACTGAAAAAACATTTGAGTTATATTCTTTTATTATTTTAGTTGCTGAAATTTAGTTTACTGTTTAAAATTCAATATTAAAAAAAACTAACTAAAATTAAATATTCAGCACAAATATTTTCAAGCTCTCAAATTAAACAGTCAAAATTCAGAGTGTAAAATTCACAGTGAAAAAAATTCACAGGAAAGATCCAAGAAGCCAAGGCCTAAGCAATTGATCCAAAGTGATCTGAAATGGTTTAGTGAGCCTTTTTCTTTAATTGGTCAGAATTAGCCTCATCAAAACCTCATCTCTTTTATTTCTTAAGTGTAAGCCCCACCCACAGATAAAAAAGGACAATAGGAAACCGCCTCTGTCCTTCTCACTCACACATGATCGATTGCTTCTGCTTTGGCATCTTGGCTCTATGCTGTGAAAATTTTATTAGTGAATTTTACACTCTGAATTTTGATTGTTGAATTTGAGAGCTTGAAAATATATGTGCTGAATATTTAAAAGGTGTTTTATATTTTGAAAAATTATTCTTAAAATTTCAGCAAACAATATTCAGAATAAAAATAATTCAAACATCTTTTTTCAGAATTAAAAAATCCAAAATAAGAAACTAAAAAGTATTTAAAATGTAAAATCTGATGGAACAAATTATCTTCCATACCATACACCTTCACTGGAATAATTTTGATTAATGATTAATAATTTTCCTGCTGTACTGAACTAAAGGTAAACAGTAGAACTTAAAAGTATCGCAAACATCACAAGGTGATTTTGAGCTTTGGCGATGTTGACAGACTAATGATAAAATGTTACACACATGTCAATGAAACAAAACACAACTTCAAGTATGTTTTTGGGGACGTAACAACATTATAACATGGCTTAAAGCTCACAAGAATCCATTTTGTGTTATATAGGACCTATAAAGCTACAGAGAAGATTCACAGGCAAATCATATCCATGGAGACAAGTAGGTGTCAGACCCTTCACCAGAAAAGTTACATAGTGCACCTTTAAACGTACAGAGTTTGTTGGTGCAGATGTGGTAGTAGGGATGAGATGCAGTTAGCAAAGCAAACCACATGATAGAATAAATAACGGAATAAATAAATGTCAGGTTGAATTAGGTTAGAGTCTGGAAAGGGCATCTTTGTGTGAGAGCGGTGCCCAGAGGAGGAGGACAAGATGGATCTGATAGTCTGGAAAAGCTTGTTATTTCAAGGAAGATTTGTAAATGTAGAGGAGTGGCTAAGCTGGGCAGGTCAGTGAACACATTTAGTTAAGTACATGACTAACTGCTGTTGCTATATATTTTACATGCTTAAGGCAGGCCTGTCAAAATTTGAAGTATGATAAATTGCTGAAGAAAATATAAATGATAAATGAATGATAATATTAAAAGCCGTTAAGCTACTGAGATAATAAACAGGATTTCCCTCCTAAAAACTATTCTATATTTACAGATTTGTTAATGAACATAAACTTCAGTAAATAAATAAAACACTTCATCAGTCACAGAGGTTGTGTATTCAACCGTCTACAGCTCAAATCTTATAGTAGTACAGAAAAATAGCAAGTATAAATGCGCATTGTGTAACTTTTCTGGTGAAGGGTCCGTTAAATGCTTTTCTCTATGGAGATGTTATTGCTTCATCTGGAATGCTTCTCAGTATGGTATTAAAGCTTTCTATCTTAATGGAGACCAAAATAGACCAAGTTACAGGTCAGATCTGTGGAGGGGCGACCCTGCTCATAGTCAGAATGCCTGTTTTTCAAAGCATTTTTGAGCTATAAAACCATCTGTGACTGGATACGTGTAAGGTAGAACCAAAAAGTTGCAAAGTGCGCCTTTAAAATGTACTGAGTAGTAAAATGTATTGAATGATAAGTCACTATAGTAATTATCATGACAATTTTTTACTTGTGCATTTACATTTAAATACTTATGTCTTATTTGACACCTGTCTCTTGCCATCTTTTTTTGCTACTTCTTCAGAATTATTTTACCTTTTACATTTTTGCTCTTTGTTATTATATTTATTGTGATGTGTGAGCTACTGTGTCCAAATAATTTCCCTTGTGGATCAATAAAGTTTGTCTACATCTAAGTGCTAAGTCTAATCAAAATTCATATGATTACTTAATAACATTGAGGAAAACAATGTATATTTTTTTGTTTTTTTACTTTCACTAAAAAATAATACTGCAAAGTGTTGACATAATAAAGCTGTATTACAAAATCAAACCACAATGTCTGCCTCGATCTGTCAAACTTCTTGGCAAAAGGAGAAATTCTATTTGTCAAGTGGACAAAAGTTTATTTGGTCGAATATATTTCGCAGTTCATCCAAGCTGCTTTTTCACTTCTGGTTAAAATGCAGGTGGATACTTCCTTATGTCTGTCTGAGGGAAGGAACTAACTATAGCGGAACTACTTTGAAACTAACACATCTACTTGTTTACAGTTTCAGTTAGTGAGTTAGTTCCTATTGAACTGCACTGAGTGTGGGGTCATATTTGCAGAATCATTCAGAGCCATAATAGAGCTTTCACACCTCTGGGCCTGAGCTGTCTATCCCTATTTTTTTTTATATGTTTGTTTTGATTTAGGTTTAAGGATGGAGTTGTAATTAGGATATAGATGGTGTCCAAGTCCTCCATTTCTGTTTAAAGAAGGATTCACTTTCTTAACAAAAATAGCGTCTTTAAACCCCCTCTCAAACCAATCCTTTTCTCTGGCTCAAATCTGTACCTCACTGTCCTCAAAGGAGTGGCCCGTGGCTTTTAGGTGGACATGTACCACAGACTTTGGTCCACTATTGCTCTCTCGTCTGTGTTGGTACATCCTCTTGTGAAGTGGCTGTTTTGTTTCTCCAATGTAGCTCTCACTGCAGTCTTCACTCCACTGAATGGAGTAGACCACATTGCTTTTTTTGTGGCTCGGTGTTTTGGACCAGTTTCTGTCTTAAAGTGTTTGTAGGTTTGAAATATACTGGGATCTCATGTTGTCTGAAAATCCTCTGTACTTTTTCAGAAACACCAGCCATGTAAGGAATAGTTACACCCTTTCTCCTGGGATTCCTCTGATTCTCTGTTGTCCTGTTTTTTAGCTCTCTTTGTTTTGTTGAAAGCCCACTTCGCATATCCACAAAAGTACGAGTCAAACTTCCTGACTCGTACAAAATTGGTAAAAAAGAGAGAAGAGAATTGATTGGCTGTACTATGGTGGTCCACTCTTGCTTCACTTCCCAGCGTAAAAAAAAGAAAAAAAAGCAGGCATGGGAATATTAGATGTGCCAAAGGGGTTTGCGAGAGCTACAAAGTTTTAAACAGATTTAAATACCAACTTCCTTCTTTCACGGTTGGAAAATTAGGTATCCCAGATTTAAGCCTCGTAATAATGTACTGTATATATGTGTGCGTGTATGTACGTCCATGTGTCTGGGTGTTTGTGTGTGTGTGTGTGTGTGTGCGTGTGTATCCATTACCATCACTGGAGGTATTCCAAGAAGCAGCAGCCAACACACTGTGGTCTTGGGGCACATCAGACCCTGAAAACAGAAACAACAAAGAATCTATTAACAAACTGTACTTTACTAAAATGTGCATAAGCAGGAAGAAAAATGCACGCACGTTAGGCATTATTAACTTTTTTATTTTAACCTGGAACAGTTATTTTCCATTTTATACAACGGACATTCTTGCATAATTCGGTTACTTTGTTGTACACACTGTATTGCTTAAGAGCTTAAATTAGGCCCTGTACCCAATTTTTCCATGTATTTGAGCAAAATTTGTCTTGGCTCAGTCAGTACATATATTTTAAGCACTCATAAACTCATTGTGGTTAATATTCAGGATGCTCTGAATGCACAAGGTAAGTGAGGAATAACTTTGGACCACTGCTGGTGCCACCTAATGCCTCCGCTCAATTTTATTTCTTTCCAGAGACTAGATCAGAAATCAGAATAAACTAGATGGTTTGCAAGATCCCCAGAAGTTGCAGACCGCACACCAGCCAGTCAGCGAAGAGCTGAATCAACCCGAGTTGCAATAGCAGACTGCATACGCTATCCTCATTTGGACTTCCTTTGTCAAACACAAACTTCACATTTTTTATTACACCTGTAATTTGCAAGTTCACCTCGCAGAAATAACAATGATCGTTGACAGACATGTTCACTCTCTGCTTTGTTTGCTGTTGTGCCGGCAATTACTTGGACACCACTGAGTGTTCCGGCGCATTACATACATCACGACCAAATAGCAGTGATTGGTTAAATTAAAAAAGTACCCGTCTACAGTCAAGCGAATGTATCCTAATGCTGCGAGGTCAGACAGTTTCCACAAAGTGAAACCGGCTGATGAATCAGGCTAACAAACCACTGAAAAAGAACTAATTCTGTTTTCATGTTTTTAAGACTGTAAAAAACAGGTACAACTCCAACAATATAAGCAATCTTGCCACACATTTTAAGCATCTCCCAACAGGCCAGTTTGTTTCTCCTCACTCCACAGAAGACAGAATAGAACCATCAACCACTTTGCACTAAAAGATTCACACTAAACAACTCATTGTTTCAGCTATTTGCTATTTGGGCCACTCAACACTCTACAAGCACTTTTATGTCTCCTCCCAGGGCTTTTCCATATGTTTGTGGTGACATGATGAATGAGGAGCAGGCCGGCAGCCAACTGGGGCCGTATACTGTATATACATAAACATACATATGCAAAAACAGGTATATAAACACGCATTTGTAAGTGCTGGTGGGTTGTGGGGAGAGAGAGAGGAGAGGGCAGAGGAGTGGAGCTGGGCCTCACTCGGGGTCAGACTAATTGGGTGATAATGTGGCTCTTCACACGTGCTGCTGTGTAAGGGGCTACTGTGTGCACTGAGGCCTGGACATAAGCTGGACATAAGCTGTTCAGGCCTCTGCACCTGTTACGCAAGGAGACAGTCAAGCGCTCCACCCTGGATATTCTGAGTTATGCTGCTATATGGGTGTTAATACAAAAAAAGAGAGTGAATTTGTGAGGCAATATTATGATTATAAATGCACCAAAATAACTGTGCTTTACATGCACGGACTCAGTGTCAAAGAGATTCTGCATTTTAAGCATAGACTGTAAAATGGACAGTTCCAAATAGGAAGAGAACATGGGTGCACTTCCAGCTCCAACTGAAGTTACATTGAAAAATTGTCACTCCTCTCTCGATAACTGCTGCAGTGAGCCTCGTCATTTTGGTCTTAAAATGTTCGTATTAACCCACTCTACAGGATCGTGGGTTCCAAATTAACCCCTGTAACTGCTAGCCTCCTGAGACTCATTTGACTTGAGCCGGACACTGGGAGTGACGTCACACTCCCTTAGTTCACTTCTTTATACAGTCGATGATCTCAAGGGAATATCTGAATAAATAAATACAGGAAAGCTACATTGTATGGTCATTATTCATGTAACCACATGTACTTCTGTAACCACAGCTGTTCTGGGATAGGCTGGCAAAAGTAGCAGTATTAACAGTAGTTGTAGTAGAGATAGTACTAGTAGTAGCCTTAGTAGGCAGGCAAGGCAAGGCAAGTTTATTTGTATAACACAGTTTATTTGTATAACACAATTCGTACACAAAGTAATTCAAAGTGCTTTACAGAATAAGAAATACATTAAAATCACATTAAAAACAAATAAAAACATAAATAATCCTCATGAAATTAAAAAGAGAAAGTGACATAGCACAGCTTTTAGTAGTAGTTAATGGCAGTCAAAATAAAAGCACCAAAAGGATTTTTATTTTTTGTAATATTTACTTTCCCTGCATGTGATAACAGCATTAAGAGTAATAAGAACCATTTAAGTCAGAACTTAAATTTACAAATTAATAGCCTTTGTTATGCATGTTTTTAGTGAAGTCATCAAAATCCATGTGAACAAATTACACTTTCTGTATGAATCCTTTCTAAATATTATCCAAACACAGAAAATGATTAGGTTTTTGAACACAAAAACAGTTCCCCATAAACAACAACAAAAATAAAAATTGTAACCACAACTTCCAGGCAATTGATCGTTAATAAATTAATTAAATCATGTGGCAAAGAATGTGTACAAGAAGACTGTGTGTAACAAATGGCACCGACTATAAAAATCTGCCTAAATGTTTTGAGTATACAGTGCAGTTTTGTTATGGTGCCAAATAGACTGCCTCCAGACACTGTTTTGACTTGGCTGCATGGGCCCAAGGTGAGACAGCTCTGTTCTGGGCCAATGCTCCAAATACTTCACCAAGTACAAGCCGGGGCGGAGGTGTGAAGATGTAGGTCACTTCATGGATTAAAGGTCCAATACTATGCAAAACTGACTCTTGTGAGCTTTAAGCCATGTGGATATATTACCTTTTCAAAAACATACCTGGAGTTGTGTTTTGTTTTATCCACGCATGTTTGAGTAACATTTTATTATTCATTTGTCTACATCTCTAAAGCTCAAAATGCTCTGTTCCAGTTTGTGATGTCATGAAAAGTAGTTAACAGTTTCTCTTTACCTTTTGTTTAGAAGAGATCGGCAATTCCAGGGCTGAAATGATCCAAATGATTCTTGTGATGGTGTGTGGAGTTTAAAAGCACACTGGAACACTTCCTGTATTACCACACGACATCACAAGGTGGAACAAAGTATTTTCAGCTTGAGAAAAGAACTCAGCTTAAATATGCAGGATGTGCGTGTCAAACAAAACACAACTACAGGTATGTTTGTGACGAGGAAAATAGCGTAATACGGGCCCTTAAACATAACACTAATAAAAAAAAAACTGTACCTTGTTCAAAAATACACCAAAATTGAAGCAGATTCAGATATGACCTATACATATCTGGAATGAATTTGTAGGTAATTTTGAGATTAGCTTTGTAATGTGGTGACACAAGGAAGCAATTGCATTAGATCAGTTTGTTAACAAGACCAAAAATAGAGGCCTAACTTAGCTCCAGTCAGCTCAAATCAGCAATTGTTGCCTTTGTGGTCTGTGTCCATTAATTACCTCATGTTCCTAATTCAGATCATTCACCATATGTTAAAGGAGGCCTGAGACACTCCATTGGGTTTAATACTATTAAGAGTGAAGGGTGATGGGGTCAAAAAAATAGTACTGTATGTTAACTTTTCTGGTGCATGTATCAATGGAGATATCTTTGCTTTACATGAACTGTTCCACAATATGGCATTAAACTGATATATCTTCATGGAGACAAATCAGGGCATGGTGTTTTAACAATAAACAACTGTAATTGAACTGGATAAAAGTAAAATAATAAATAGGTAATGTCATGCTGTGGAACATTCCAAAGAAAATAATTTCCCTAATAATAATTTCCAAAGAAAAAAGCAGCAAGTGCACTGTTAAATGTGTATCAAGAAATAGGCCTAAAAATTCTACTACTTGAGTCGAAGTAGAAATACTGCAAAGTTTAATCTAAGTACACTTGAAACTAACTACCGTATTTTTCGGAGTCGCTCTGGAGTATAAGTCGCACCAGCCAAAAAATGCGTGATGAAGAAGAAAAAAACATATAAATCGCAGCGGACTATAAGTCACCTTTTTGGGGGGGAAATTTATTTTATAAAATCAGAGACCAGAAACCGACATTTTGAAAGGCAAGTTATTAACGTCACATATGAACAGTTCTTCAGATAACTATAGCATAAACGACAGAACATAACAAATTTACCAAACTCTCCATCTCATTCCAAATCCCTAAATCCATTGAATTCTTCATCCTGTATCACTTCTCAGCAACTCTGTGACCTCCGAAGGTAAACAGAGCGCCGCTTCCTCTTCTGCGTAGCTGTCTCCAGACTTAGCATCAGCTCCAGTTAGAATTATTCTGGCCATTTCTGAATCCTGACAGGATGATTTCAGTTGTCTTTATGTTTGTTTAAATTTCAAATTGTCAGCGATACAGAAGTAATGGTGCGATCGAGTGACATAATACCAGACAGAACAGTGGCTCTTTCTCTTTCTTCAGCAGCTGACATGTGCTGTAAAGTACGAAGTGACAGTGGTACAGGAGTACACAAGCCTAGAGCGTACTCTCGCGGCTGTCAGTGTGAAAATTTGAACAGGGGGACCACCCAAATTAGGAAAAAAAGTACCACTTACAATCCAAAAAATACGGTACAATCAATATTTTTGCAGCTAATACTACAGTTTACAGCTTGGACTGCTACATCTATTATTATGTTTTCTAATTATTACTACTGCAGGTATGGTAACTGCTATGATTCCATGATTCCATTTGATGTTTTCTGTGTTTAAAAGTGCATGTACTCCCAAATATACTTAAGTAGACACTAGTTACTACTATCCACTGCCAAAGTTGATTGAACTGGGCACTGAACCTTTAATATAATTTCCTTCTAAAATCCTATTTCACTTTATTATCATGCGTCCAACTCCATATTTCACGCTGTTTCTGAAGCCAAGAGGACTTTTAGCCTCTTGTCTGCGTTTCATAGAACATTCACCAGTAACCTTCCCCAGACCCTACAC